GTTCTAGCATCGTGGACACAGGCCTTAAGAGCCGTGACGGGGTGTCTGAATATTTTTTATTTACTGCGAAAAATATTATACCTCGGCCAGGGTTTGAACCTGGACCTGCCTCTCACTAGGCGGGCGCCTCAACCAATTGGACCACCGGGGCACATAGAGAGCGAGGTCCAGGCTCGAACCCTGGCTGAGGTAAGTTTTCGCAATGAATTCAAAACGAGGGGGAAAACCGCTGCGGGCATTGTGGTGTACAGAGCGGCATTACTGGGCACTACTGGGCATCACTACACTGAGAAAAAAGCTTGAAGACATCTATGATAGAACGTATTTCAGCTAAACCAAGCAGGATTTCGAGTTGTCACGATAGGGCTCGATATTTTGTAACCAGAAGTGTGACAGACTTCACTACACGTCTAGTAAAGTCTTAGGCCCGGTCTACAATGAGTCGTTAGTCCTTAGTTAGAAGTCGCAACTATATGTTGATCCTTTTCCTTTCTGGGTGGAAGGAAAAGGACCGACATATAGTTCCGACTTCTGACTAACGACTAACGACTCATTGTAGACCGGGCCTAAAGGAATTGTCAGATTCGTCCATTTTCTAACAGGCGACTGGTTAAATCTACCAGATTTCTTATTAATGCAACCAGATCTTTTTTCAGTGTAGGCATGTTTTGGGCATTAGACCTTGCTGGGCAGTGTAGAGATAAAATAAGATAAAATAAGATAATAAGACAACGTAATGCCCAGTGGGCATTGGTGTACAAGGTTTTGGTCAGCGGTTTTCCCCTCGATTTAAAGTGTGAAATATTTAGACACTGTCGGCTCTCAGTCCTTTATTCCTTCAAATTTGTGCTTATCACATTTGAGCCACACGTGTTAATTTGTTACATTCTATTTTATATAAAACAGATCAAAACGCTCGAAAAACTTGCCAACAATGTACGATTATATAATACAATGTATAATATACAATTTATCAACTTGCGCAAATGTTTTAAACGTATTTATCGGCTGCAAAATGGAATGTTTCTGGACGCAGAGAGCACATTGTAGATTAGGCTTTAATTCAACGTACTGCAATGTGCAACAGAAACGCAAAATTTCTCGCAACTTGCTCGAGTACATCTGCTTGTAATCCATATATATGTATAATATATTGATCAGTTTAATCCTCCATGTACAAAAGTATGAGCAAACGTTATTCTTTGCTGTGCGTTTGTGCGTCAGACTTCACTTGTGGCTGTACATTTTAGAGCGATACTCTGATACGCGATTGTTAATGCAATTGTGTTAATTAGCGAGTAAGTGTGTATTGAAGATCAGCATCAAAATCAAGCTTGGAAATTAAAAAAATATAAAGTTTTATTCCCATTTATCTACGTGCTCCCAATGTAGTTTTATGGGTTTACCTGTGAGATAAATGCTTCCTTGTACGCTTACAATTCTTTCGTTAATGACGCGCTTTCATATATTTTGCAGGAAATACGTAGCGAGTGTGAGTCTTTCCGTTACACATGCAATGAATCAAAAAAGCCACAGAACAAAACCTTAAATCGCTACAGAGATGTGGCGCCGTACGATCATACTAGGATTATACTTCAAAGAGGCGTATGCGATTACGTTCACGCCAATCTCATACAGGTAAATGCGCTGCAGGTGTCGTGCTTTTCACAGCATGGTATAAACGACTGATAACGGCGATGCGGGTATATTACATTTGTCTGTATACCGCATAGGTGGATCGCGCTGAAAGGCAATATATCCTGACGCAAGGACCCTTGCCGAATACCGTCAGCCACTTTTGGCTGATGGTGTGGGAGCAAAACTGCAGGGCTGTATTGATGTTAAACAAGATCATCGAGAAGAACCAAATCAAATGTCATCAATATTTCCCACTGGACGACAAAAAACCCACTATGACATTCGAAGACGTTAGTATAAAGGTGGATTACATCAGCAAGAAGGAATTGTCAGATTATACCACTAGAACGTTACGGTAAGGACGCACGCGTGTTGTTGAAGCCCCGTCGAGACTTGTCTCGTAATTGGCAATTTTTCTGCACAAGAGTCATAACGTGTTCAATGTTTTCAACTTATCTGCAGTATAACGGACTTGGAAAGTAACGATAGTAGGGAAATCTTACACTTTCATTACACCACTTGGCCAGATTTTGGTGTGCCGCAACGTCCAACGGCGTTTTTACGTTTCTTGGCAGACGTGAGGAAATCAGGAGCGTTAGATCAAAATGTCGGTCCGTCCGTTGTTCATTGTTCCGCGGGAATAGGACGATCGGGGACATTTTGCTTGGTTGATGCATGCCTAGTATTGGTACGTGGAACGCCGTAAACGACTTCTGGTTTGCAGCGAGACCGCTTTAGCATTTGATAACCACTTGCTGTTTGGATTGCAGATTGAAAAATATGGTTTAAACGCTCTGGATGTACGGCATGAACTGATAGAAATGAGGCGATCTCGTATGGGCCTGATACAAACGCCTGAACAACTTTGTTTTTCATATGCTGCCATCATTCAAGGAGCAAAACAATTGCCACTCGATAACATGGTGAGTTATTAATAGTCGCACAGTGCTGTTCTTTATCGAGTAGATTATGATAATTACAACAGTCCTTTTTCCTTGAATTTTTAATACTTCTTTTCTATATATGATATTTTACTGGATACTATATTTATGCACTTTTTTGGCGTGCAAAACACGTCTGATTTTATTAAATATTTTTTTTTGACAAGAAATGTTTCTAACAAAATTTTACAGCGATAAATTATTGTAATCAAACTTAATCCTCGACTCACTACATTTTACAGGACATGAATAACGAAACAACTCAAGATGAGATAATAACCTATGACGAGATGAATAATAAAAGTGACCATCCATTAGAAAAAGATGACGAACCTCCTCCTTTACCACCTCCGAGAGGAGAGTCTTTAACGCGTAGTATAATGGCAGATCTAAGCTCGGACGGCTCGACTGATGACAATGGTATTTCTGTCTTTCTCATTGTAAAAGAATTGCTTCATTAAATGGCTTTCGTGCTATACTAGGACATTAATAGAGGATATGTCAATTACAGAAGAATTAGGTGGACCGCCTGATAAACCGCTACCAAGTGAACCACCAAATCATGTAGAATTATCTGCGGACACAATTCTGTCTACTGCAAATTGTGTAGGCGAACAAAACTTAGATGACGGCACAGTACTTGACGAAACTCTTTCTGATGACGCTGAGAACTCTATTATAACAAACAATTCTCCGTCCAATTCAGACGCGTGAGTAACGTCTCCTTGGTTACTGGTGTGAATTATTTAATATTTGTGTCGATTGTAAATTTTGTTTTCTTAAAACAGGAAAGGGGAAGTACGTCGGCGCAAAGCGGAAAAGAATGAACGACTAGCGACACAAGTACGCGAGATGAAACGCCGGCAGAAGGAGATGGAAGAAAGGCAGAAATTCAAGAGGTCATTATTTTACCCCCTTAAAATAAGCTTAGGCATTGGGATCGGTGGGGGTATCATAGCGATCTGTTACTATCTGTACATGCGTAGTTAGATCTATCTTATCACATTTAAGGATGTCGTACGTACGTATATATCATCTTTTGAACTATCAATACTATTTCTATGACTCGCATAAGTGAAGAAAGTTGCTCTTAATATGCGATTCTATTGTGAGATTTTAATGACCGAATTTTGGTTGAAACATCATTGAGAGAGTAGTTAAATAAAAGATTGTCGTATCATACGATCGGCAGTAGAATCACATCGCCAGCAATACCGCAAACGATACTGTCTCTGTTATGGAAGGAATGAGCAAAAAGGAAATAGGAAAGGTAGAACGCAATAGAAGAACAGGAAAATGCTAACAAGTGCAAGGTATATTAGTACGATTTTGGATTGCACTGTTACATATTCAGTAGTAAGAACAAGAGTAAAAGTGTGGACGAAGCAGGAAAGGAGATGGACTTTCGATTTGTATTTTTATATTGTGATTTATTCCGAGTATGAGTATCTAAAATGTTGGAATATGTATATTCTTTTCACAACTCTTTTATTACACTTGCTACCAAGAAACGAATAGCTTATTCCGCATATGTGCTTACGGAGACACTGAAGATAAGTAACTTTTACGACACAATTTTTGTAGATTTTTAAGTTATAAACATATTACTTGCAACAATTGTGTTAACTATCCAGGTACATTGCTCTTGTAGATAAAATATTTACTCAAAAGCTAGTTATGCTATATCACAATATAATCATATAACTTTATAAAAATATGATTGTATGAATTTGCGTAAATTCCGATCATTCAATCTTTATTTACTTGTAGCGTTGATAATACACTCATATGTATAGTGATACATATAAACACACCGAAAATCACAGATATATAAAATTAAATTAAGCCTGTCCGACTGTTATTGGATATAGCTTGGACTTTGTCGTTTCTCACAAATAGATGCACTTTTATCTAACTTGGATCTTTTTCTTCTTATTTATTTAATATGATGATAAATAAATAAGCGAAAAAGGAGACGTTATATTTCTGTGGTTTTCGACTAACCGTTTCTAAGTAAATAAACTTGATGTTAATAATATCAATTTCTTTAGTAGCGTTAAATGGGTATACTAGTGATAGACTTAAAAAAGAATTTGTTAAACGATTTTATTATAGTTCCATAGATTAATGTTTTTAATTGCTGATTGGAGTAGATTCTACTGTCTTATATCAAAATTATTCGTAAAAATTATTCGTGAAAATTTATGCATATACATATTATACATTAACACTTAACAAAAAGGTTTCAAAAATGTTTCTCATTTATTATGATAATTATGCTTAAACTTTTTATTCTTTGGCTATGAGTAAGATATACTTTCTTCTTATTTATAATATTTTTATTTTCCTTTTTTGTTACAACGGAATCTTACATCTCATGCAAATCGTCATCTGGGATGATAATATTTGCCGCAACTACCTTAATTTGCACGATGATAGCATGTAGAATCAATTATTTTTATTTACAACAAGACATTCCTGAATGAATATTAGCTTCAAATTTCTTACGCTTAGAAATGGAATTATCTTGGATGCGATTATGTAAAAAGATTCTATTCCCCATGTCAAGAGAACTTTTGCTGATAAATGATTTGTACCTTTTTTCTGTTATCAAGTAAGTTACACAAATAATGTCACGAATTTTTAGTTTGACATGGAAATCGTTGGTAACAACAAAAGAAAAGACACCAAAATATGCAATATTGTTATAAATAAGCAAAGTGTTATTTCCAAGAGTTAGTGATTTCTCTCTCTCTCTCTCTCTCTCTCTCTCTCTCTCTCTTTCTCTTTCTCTCTCCGTGATATACTCTCGCTTTGAATCTTTTTTTTAAATCAAATCCTATTTATGCATTTATCAATATCTTTATTAAACTTCGAAAATTTAGTGATAAAGTTTCGTTAATTGTTAGAGGGAAGTGTTGGAAAGGGTTTAAAACAAAATCTTAGAAAATGTGAATTCCAGCTCATTGCCCAACAGCGTACGCTGCAAACTGTGCATTGAGCGTTGTGGATAAAGACTGAGTACGTCTAATGACCTCTAGGAGGACAGAAGGAGGAGGAAAAAAAAACCGAGCGGTACAATAACGAAAGTTAAGCCCGCGTATTTCTTAAGTCGAGCTTTTATACAAGCCACTTTGAGAGAAAGACTTGTCAGATCGTGTTCCAATCCAAAGATAAAGCGTGATGAGAAAAATGTGCGTCGCGACGTCTTGAAAAGATGCGCGTCACGTAAAACGTATTTTTTACTTTTGTACGTTACTACCGTTGGAGCACGATCTCCCAACGAGGTTTTCAGACACGTCGTACTTGCGCATATCGACGCGCTCGTCTTCGCGTGATTATGTACATTGATTAGAATTACAGGTGTGCGAATCATGTGTGGCCGAGTCAAATCGAATCTTTTCATGTTCAAATTTAAATAAATATCTCCTGGGTTCATTATACGTTGATTTGAAAATAAAATCATGCACTTGACCATTTTTCAATGACATTTTATTTGAAAAATAGTTTAATCGTTACATTACAAATATTATATTTATTAGACGGAAAAACGTGATCGATTCGAAGTCGAATCGCCGATGACATTTGAATTCGAGTCTGTTTGATTCGAAAATCAAGCCGTGAGTGAGTGATTCGATTCGAAGCAATTCGCACACCTCTAATTAGAACGTTGCAACAGAAATTGAATGGAAAACGGAGAAAAGGAGCGGAGAGCACTCCACGTGAAACACGATGTCGAGGGGATATGCAGTATTCTATTGTCAACAACACGTTTTAACTTTACGCACTAATATACTATTGTTATCTAATTTTTATCGAGATATTATTTATGTAAGTATAAAAACCGCGGTCTGCGACGATTCGATTGAGAGGAAACGACACGATTAATCTCGTCACGATTATTATCACGTCGTTGGCGAGACGCACCATAGCGTGGGGATCCGTTCCATCGCTCCATGCGAAATATAATCGAAGATGTGTCCAACTCTCGAGGACGGCACGTAATTCACTCGGTTAACAAAGAAATTCGCGATCGTCCACCCGCCGTTTCACGGCGCGAAAAAGAATCGGGACGAACGATCGCGGACGCTCATCTCTCCTGTTGTTGGCGATCGCGCGAAGCTTCCGGAAGTGAGACATACGCTCATGAAAGTTCGCAGGTCACGAAGACACGGTGCTAATTAAAAGTTCCGAAAAACCGATGTGCGCTCCGACGTGCGTGCGTTCGTGTGTGCATGCGTAGACACGAGATGAGATGCGCGTATTATGAGAGAATGAAGGAACGATGGGAGCAGTCACCGATGTTGATCGTGCAACTCGCTTATCGAAGCACTATTCGGGAAAATGCGAGCATGGTTTCGTATTGCCACCATAGAAATTGAATTTCCCACCCGGTAACAATTTTAAAGTAGCAGCTTACCATTTTTATCGTAACGTTTTTTAACATTAAAGAAACCGTTTTTCTCCCGTCGATTGCATTATGTGCGACGATGTTTTTACGCGTCATCCAATTATGAGCTTTTAAAAAAAAGCATCTATGGGCTTCACACTCAGCATCGGACAAGGCATGCGAGAGCAGGCCCGGCGACGCATTCTTTTATACTACTCGTGTGCATACAATAGATATAACGTTATACAAACAAACAGAAACACAGAAACATAGCTAAGTGCCTACTCGTACGAACAAGGGGAGTGAAGGAAAATACACACAGCGATCGGTGAATTGTGTAGCGACAGCGATTTCTCCCCTTTTTGGAAGAGCATAGTCACCGTGGAAGCGAGCCGTTTTTATTACCCGACAATATATAAATAGATAGTTATCTATAATAGTAAAAATCTAAGGTTGATTTATTCAAAATGGTACTTTCGGTGGTGCTCCCGCTACATTTAAGGCAATAGTAAAACATCGCTTTTCTCGGAATGCACAGAATTTTTTAGAATAATGCAAATACACGTTCCTTGTTAATCGACAACTTCGACAAAATCGCCTCTCAATCGTAAAAATGAGCAAGAAATGGAATAATTGTGATAGAAATGTATATCTTGCTCGACTATAAATTCTCACCACGTTACATGTTGTAACTTTTTTTGATTCTACGCAGAATGGCCATTTTGAATTAATCAATTTATCATAATTTCCGGATTGCCGAGCGATCGTGCATCAGGGTATCGACGAAATACGAGCGATAATGTCGAGCTTATTCTCGAGTAGAAATCGACTTTGTATCATTAACTAGACGCACTTGATCGTGAACGTGCGCGAGGAAATTCTGACAGTCGCAGGAACCTACAAGTCTCAAATTTAAAGCAATATATGCGGATCATCGCGGCGATATCGAATGTGTACGATTCGATCGATACGCTTGGCAGCCGGACTAATAATCGTAAGAATCGAGTGTACGCATTAGGCAGATGTAAGAATGGCGAGACAGAGAAAATTGACGGCTCTTGATTCTTAGAAGCGCACCAGCTAGAGCATACATTTTTATAAATCATGATGATGTCGTTTAGTCTACATAATGCATCCTTTATATACTACGGGGCCTTTTTACAATTACTGACGATTATCAGTCGTCGATTATCGACGCGAGAAAAAGAAACATAGATTTATTGTCAATATGAAAAATAGGTAATTGTGAGCGTGCTTCTCAGAGGATTAAGACAAAAATATGTGAAGATGGAGAAAACTGTAACGCTTGTTCGATTAATCGACTGTCAATTGAGCATCTTACAAAATAAATTATTGTTTCCATAATTTTTTTTTAGTTTTATCAAAAGTCGTAATAGATAGAAAACTGAGAAATTGCAGAAAGAAAAATTCGTAAAATTTACTAACAGAACCAACACAAATTCTGGCTATTGAGATGATTGTGTAGAAGAATACAATTGCTTTTTACGTTGTTTTTGTATATTAGAGAAGATTTAAAAAAATAATCGCTTAATCGTACAGCGTCGGTAAAGGTAATAGTTCTCCCTAGCCCATTCTGCATCTTGCACACCTCGAACTGTAGTTACATTTACGATGTACCGTTGTAGAACTATAGCGTCGAATGGTATTTTAATGTATGGAAAACTGAATGCACAGTAAAGGAAGGGAAACGGAAATTGAAAGCGTGTGTGAAAGAAAGAATTTGGATTCAAGAAGAAAGAAATTAGGGGTGAAGAGAGGAGCGAAGTGCGTAACGAGACATTGTCTCAATTAGTCGCACAAATTACCGAAAAAATCTACAAATATTTAAAATTATCAAGTACTAAATTTTTCTTATACAAAGCCTTAATAACTTCTTGTGCAATATGTATGTATTTTTTTTCTAGAACCATTTATCGTTTCTAGAAAGTTTATTCTCTAATATTGATTGGTTAACGAACGAGCGTTATTCGTCGAGTTCTAATTATCGAATGTATCAGATGAGATCTGTTTATACATAATCAGCTGATACGACAGGAAGATCGCTACGTTAAACCGTTTTCCAGTCGTTCCTCTCTTTCACGTGAATTCTATGATGGACAAGTTACACGAATGGGCACTGGACGATCACATGAAGATTTGCATACAATAAAATTATTTATAACGGAAGTAACGAAACGGCAAGATCAATGCTCTCGCGAATACGCACGTGCATCAGGCCGCTTCGTTCGAAATGGTTCCCTCCTGCGAGAACATTCTCAATGTAGAGGCTGTACTTGGCAGATATTTTACACTCGAAGTAGCGTTGTGAGAGTAGAATCTCTCGCATTGTAGGTTTCATACAGCATAAATTTAAAACACGTAATTCTTACAATTGTGCATTTTTCACCGCGAATTTATTTTCGCAAAATACATTTCTATGGAAAGTCCGGATTCATGTACTATGGATTCAGGTAATACAGATGTTTTTTTACGAATCATCGACGCAAGTATAGTAGATCCCAGACAATCATGGCGAAGGCATCTCAAATTATTTAATCAGATGTACTTTCTTATGTTTATACCTTCATAAAACTTGACTAGAATTAGTGCAGTGGATTATTGATTATTCGTCAAATTTGTAGGAACATTTTGTTTCGTTTTAATGCCCGATGATTCATCAAAAATTCGGTGTTTACCAGGAGTACTTTTAAATCTTAATAAAAATCAATATGTTTTGCATCCATATGTTATTTGTGACTAGCGATTTTAGTTCGTAAACCATATTGATAAGTGACATCTCTTGGTATATTATTTTCCAACTAGATTAGATCTCTCAGTGGCAATAACGGCTGTACTAGTATCAATGAATATTATTTTAAATTAGCCACGAATCTCATTTCTCGTAAATATATGAATTACTGATAAGCTAGTGATAGTAGTACACCAGTTATTGATATCGTTCTCTATCTTTCTCTATCTAGAGTTGACATTGAATCGTTTATTTCGAAAATTATAAATTACATTTAGAAAAATCTTGACGAATTTATCAATTCTTGACATTGCGGAATTAAAGTTATACCATTTTCGAAATAAACGGCTCGATTTACATGACCCCGATTCTGTCCTGTCTTGCAATCTGAATTTGAAATTCTCAAATCGCATAAATCCCGAGGTATTTACATATATGTTTATAAGCGATGCAAACAGCCCCCTCGAATTATTTTCTTAGCACAAGTTATTTTCTCCCCGTTTGTCGTCTCGTACTTAGTCTTTCACGTTCAATTAAAGCCCTTAGAGATCCTTATCTGATGATTTCTTTCAGATCAAAAAGCGAAACTACCGAAAGCGGCGAATCGGTGCACGAGGAGGCTGAATCCACCATCTAAATTGAAAGAAAAAAAGAAAAAAAATCGTCCTTCCATAGAATAATTCTCCGTTGTGTGCCTTGTCATATTTTAAAAGAATCCAACTAGACATGAATCTGTTTCAGTACAATAAAAATACTTAATAGAGACAAATAAACCTAATTGTTTGCTACACAGAAATATGATGTACGTATATTTGTTTTCGCAGGCTCTTGAGTCCTGTATTATATTTAAGGATGAATCGCAATTTTCGTCTTTTCCTAGTTTCTGATTATTTTGTAACTGAAAAAAGTAAGACTTTTTAATTAGTATCTTTTACGGTACATTAAGTATTAATGTACTGTAAGAGAAATATAGAAATAAATGAAATCATAAAGAATAGAAATCATACAAATATATTTATAAAATATATTTATAAAAATTGATATAATTTTACTATTCTCTCCATATGATAATTCGTTTCTTAAACAAACGTATCAAAATAAGGCAATTAATGAAAATGAGTAAATTGAAAAACGATTTTTCATATGGTTTTTTATCAAAACTGACGTTTTTTAACTATAATATTAACAAGTAGAGAGAATGTTTTCAAACTACGAATTATGCAATATTGATAAGAACGAAGTTAAATTTTCACATGTGCTGTGATGTAACAATGTGTAACGTAGCATTCTAGAGATGACTCTCTCTTATGTCATACGTCACGTGAAGATTTAACGCGACTGCATTTTAGATAATAAAATATTTAACAAGAATATCTTGTGTAACATATTAAAAAAATAAAATAAATTACCAAATTTATTCTTATTATTTCGGTTAAAATTGGCAATAATCGACAAGTATTATAATAATAAATCAATAAACGTGTGCATGAATATATTTTGACATTTTGACGTAGAAGCCAATCCCCTATATATTAGATATCTTCATTATTTTGAATATTACTTTTTCGTTATCGTAAAAAAAATTTATATTACCTAACAAAATTTGGCTAAAGCAGTTTTTAAAACTTTGTTCTTAGTGCTAAACTTGATAAAATAATCAACAAAAGTTATTTGCAATTATAAGTATTCTAATACGAGACATAAAAGATAATGGAATTTTCGAATGCGATAATATTTAAATACTTTAATCCACAACAAGACAAGAAATTGGGAAAAAACTAAATATACCTAGATAAAATATATTTTATGAGGCGGAAAGTACATGTAACTTTGGTATAAGCAAGAAACTCCAAATCTAGAATGAATCTAGAAAATGAGTGGCATCTTATAGAACGTACTAGAGAGATCACGGCGAAATGTTTTAGATTTTGTCGTGTCGTTCTTATGGGCGCATATTTGCGCGGTAATTTTGGGGAATCTCGCGCGAATCGACATACTAAATTATCAGTATTTTACGCGTAAACAGACAAGCATCGAGGGGGACGTTCCCTTGTAGTCAAATTAACACCTGCGAGGCCGGCAAAACAAGAAGCAGAGTAGTACACTCGGGATAGATCGGTGGTGTGTCACGTCTACCTAGTTTACCAGGTCAGTTATCACCCGTCGTAGAACGTCATTGTATAATTAGCATGCTCTGGTTTGACGTCATTGTTTCATATAAATACCGAATGCTCGATCTCGGCCACCATAAACTCACGAGAGAGCTGCCTACGACGTGCTATTATACTCCCTAATAGACGCTTCGCATTGAAACGCTACTTCCTCCTTTGAGTAACGTAATCTTGAACGTGCGAAAGCGATCGTTATTTTCTTATAAAGTATCGTCGATTTAATCCAGTACTTTCAAACACAGAATGGTAAGTATATATTTTTGAGTTTAAACAGATTCACCTGTTGCCGCGCGTTAAACGTTGCAATTTCTATATTAAAAATTTTTCGAATAATTTATGAAATTCAATAAGGTGCAACGTTTTATTTTCAAATAATTGAAACTCGGATTAATTAATTCCTGAATTTGTTTGTAACAATTGTCCGAAACAAGTCCGTTTTATTCTAATGAGTATATTCATCCGTGTATCGAGATCTGCTTTATGTATGTGCTGAGAATTCTTTAATTATTTTTATTTTTAGAAGTTTTTAATTATTTAAAAAGTCTTAGAATAAAAATTGGCTAGCAATTATTCGCAAATCTTTAGATGTTTATCGATGTTATGGATATAAAGGCACTATCTCCTCTTCTTTCTCATGTAGATGGCTGCCACAATCGTTGTCTCTGCACTGCTGTTTGTTGCCTGCTCGTACGCATTACCTCTTAGAACGGCGAGAATGTACGGCTCTCCTCTACTTGTTGTGCCAGTACTCGTTCAGGAACTCGAGGATCCTCAGGCTTTGATAAACGAAGAATCGATGTACGCGTTAAACGACGGTTCTAAAGTTGCGGATGGCAGCTTCAACATTGAGAAGCGCAGCACAGAAGAAGCAGATGATGATGATCTTGAGACTGCAGCTGGTTCCAATGTTCTCCGTCCTCTCTTCGTCTATCGCCAGCAGGTTGCGTACCGAAAACGTGTCAGAGACGCGATTCGACGAGGTAGGCGAATATAAGTGGGGGAGGAGAAGAAAAATCTGGATTTGGGGATTTCGGCAATTGCAATTCATTGTTATCTCATTTTGGTATTATCGGGAAGATAATACATTCGAGATACTTGGAGACCTGCATCTGCAGCCTTATTGGCCCTAAAGATCTTCAAAATCCTAAAGAAGGATTGAAAAAGAATCGAGCTTGCGATGAGATAAACTTCATGAAAAGGTAGAGATACACAAAGATCAAAGAAACATGAATAAATAAAAGGGATCGATAAAGGAAAACGAAAATGGCTTTGCATCAAGATGATTCGATTAAACAAAGTACAAACATCTATTTCGGAAACTATAGTGAGCTATAATGATGAAATAGCTTATTTTATAACTCATATCCGAAGCTCATCAGGGAAATAAAAGCTTGCCGCTCGCGAATACTTATAGGTGTGTCTGTGAGCGCAGAAGAGTAAGAACTCAAACTTATAAACAGCGAAGCGGAAGACTCGCGCCAACATGAAAATTTTTGGCGCAAATAAAACTGTTCACATGTCGACGAAGCTTACCGCGCAGATAAAAAACTATGTGAGGTAGAAAAAAGATACAGAGAACCGGTAACGAAAGGAGTTTTCGCGTTGAAAAACGGGGTGAGCTTTAAAACGGCAGCAAGGGGTATTGAACTCGTACAGCATAATTACGCTAAAAGATTGTGGACCTCGTTATTTCGACGAAAATTAACTGTGCAAATTAACGAGCACGGACTAAGCTTGCTGATTTAGGAAGGCCTTTCTTTTAAGCAGAACAAGAGCGATAGAAAAAAAAAATGAAGGAAGCATTTAACTATTTTACGATCACATATGATCTCTTACAAAAATTCCTATAGGTTTAAGATTAAAATAATTAAGTCTGCAAGAGTGGGAGCTGATTAAAATAATAAATAGAATAACCGGAGAAATAGAGGAAGCGCGCAATGTATGCATATCTTTGTAATGAATCATAGCGATAATTAGCGTTTTCTTTTAATTGTAAGTCGATTACTTGAAAATAGCGTTAATGCTCGAAAGCTGTCTACCAAAGTTGCGTTACACAAGCAAGCAAATTAATGATATTGCAGTTATTCGATTGTATACATATGAAAGCGTTACATTGTGATACGATTTCTTTGAGAAAATGTTACGTGTGTAATAAATGAAACACGTATGACATTTTATAAATAAATGTAGAAAAATTGATTATATTATACGTTTACTTCTTGTTCCTGTCATAATTTACAAATAATGATTAAGCGTAAATATGCTTAATAGAAAGATTAATAATAATGTATTAATATAATTATGTATAATGGACACATTTTTTATCTTTTAACACAATAACTTGTTTCTGGACGTATAGTAGAAAACTGTTATTGATACAATAGAAGAAAACGTTTATTAAAATATCGAATCAAGAACACAGAAATTGATAAAATAATATAATTTAGTATTAATTTTAAAAAATGCGAATTTTATTTTAACACAAGACTTTTAAAGAAATTCAACGTCAACTGATTTAATTTCAAGCAACCACTTTGGCGAAGAAATATTTTAAATTATGAAACATTGTTAAAATCATTTCAGGAGCAGTCTTGTCAAGAAACATTACAATCTAGATGTTAATCACAAATTCGAAATTATTTATTTATATTTAAAACAACGACGTACATTTCTCTGTTTCTCCTACCAGGAATAATTTGTCATCGCTATTTTCTAAGATCTACTTACATAAATCTGGCTATGCAAATCTAATTTTCCCTTAAAGAGAAGAAAAGGTATAAAATTCAGAAACTTCCAGATTTACTTTCCCGAAAATACAGGATATCTCCAGTAGCTACGATAAGGCTGCCTCCAGTCGTTTGTTTGATACCTTTGATTAGGAAACTGTCCTCTATAATACGAATTCCAATACGGATATGGAGATTGATATCTATCCTCGGCTACACCGAGATCGCCCTCAAGGTTCAGATTCTGTTTTGATGGAACGACACTCCTATTCTCGTCGTTGGTAGATTCAACATCGTTGGAAACGTTCTCAATCGAGGCGAGATTCAAGTAATCGCCTTTTTCAGCTTGGCGACTTAGACGAGCCGGTATTAAGACAGGATCCAGAAGGATATCGTGCGATGACAAACCTACAGATGGTTCCTCTTTGTGACATGCATCATCTCGATTTTTTATTGTGTCTTAAGTGCTTCGTATTTTTTATATAGCTGTTTGAAAACTCACCGGTTGAAGTTGCGGATGCGTCTGATGTCTTATTCAAGGATAATGGATTTTTCGCGTGTTCTCCAATTTGGGTAGCGTTCTTCACGAGATTATCATCGAACGAATGATTCTTAGTATTGTTCTGTGCATCCTGTTGTTTCAGCAGATCCGCGCGATGATTCTCGACATTTCGTACGTCATGCGCATCACCCCACAAAGTTTCTTTTGTCGTTGATGACTCTACGGACATCGATCCTGCCAGGATCGCGCAAGAGCAGAGGCTGAAGCAGATGACGCTAAAGCGTTCCATTTGAATCACGATTTTCCTGATGATACAAAGACTACAGTTTCCAATTGCCGACTAATGGCTCAGAAAGTCGAAGCATGTCTTTTATAGCTTGTTATTCAGCACTCTTGCTAAGTCACTCGCTAAACACCATCGAGTCTCGATATCGTTAAGAGCGCGCTAACGATAAGTATAATATTTCTTCGTGGTCGGTCAAACAGCAGTTGTTGAAATGTTCTCGTACGCCACATTATTTCGCAATCATTTCGCAAACTTGCGAAATGCTTGAAATTATATTAAAAACCCCAAACAGAATAAATGTCTAACAATTTTTTAAATTTTTCTGGTTAATTTTTTAAATTAAAATTTCTAAAATATAAGAAATAAAATATGACTGACGCATTCATATACTTATATGTTATATCAAGACTGAGCAGTATTTTATGGGTGAAAATAAGGGTGAAAATATATGAAAGGTACAAGATTTTAACTCGCCAGAAGTAAATGTTATATGATTGATAATTATGATTTTCAAGATGCAGCATGAAAGAGTTTAGATTTAAAAGACCTCATCGCATTTTATAGTTTGGAAGTATATCTTTTGAGATCTTGTTTCTATGATCCTCATGATGCAGCATCCATGCAAAGTTTACCGCAAGGTTGATACTCACGTTTATTAGCAGAGTAACGATAATTCTTTCAGCACGTCGTATAAAACCAGTACGATCCGTTATACCCTAACAGAGCTGGAAAATCCTTGGCGAAGCAGTCGTGTCAAAGCAACAGGAAGAACGTCGTCATCGCAATGAAAAACGACTCACCGGTACGTTCTTAGATCAATCGTTTGAAAAGTCCAATTTTCACTAGCAATTAACACAACACATATAAATGTACGAGAATACACACTCACTCTTCGCGTCATGGACAATGAATACAAATTTTCTATTTTAGAAAGATTATAAAGTTACAGAAAACGTGACTAGTATGTAATTTACTGGATTATAAATATTTAATCATTTTCATTATTAATGAAAATAAACTCAAGTTTACATATCAAAATGTGATAAAACCCAAAATCTCTTAATAACAAATTAATATTGTGTATTAATATTTTGGACAGATACTTTTCGTAAATTCTCTCGGTAATTAAATTAACCAAATTAAAATCTTGAAAAAGTAAAATCTACTTAAAATTTTAATTTAAGGTTTGTCTCTTAATCGCAATCCAACTTGTAGATCAGGACAGTTTATATCATAAAAGACTTTATTGATTGCACTTCATAGTTTGGAAGCATCATGTTCTTTGTGATCTTCCTATTATTTGTGGAGATATCAGACGCGAAACCTATTGAGTACGAAGACATTGCGAATCTGTTACCAACGGAACCTCAGACTACGAACGATACATTGGCAGCTATTGTGCGAGATCCGGTGGTGCAAGATGCTGTGCAAAATGCGGTCGGCAATGGATCCTTACAAGGCTTGGTGGTAAAGAAGAAAGTGCTTGTTATGCCTGCCACTGAACCTACTAAGGTATACACTTTATGCTATTCTTTTTTATACGCTATTAATTGTGTAAATATTAATTTAACATTTTTCTACACCCACTTGACTAGAGAACACGATGTTCAAGAATGCAAGTGACTCCTGCTGTTATTAACGATACTTGTTAATTATTAGTGTGATTACGATTGTTAGCTTTTATTAACGGCAACGGGCCACGTCGAAGTGTGATCAATCCTTTATACAGGGTGTCCTAAAACCACCGGAGGTCCTCTTATTGACAGATTCC